AAATTATTTCCCTAGCTCCCTGTGGGATTCGACCTAGTACCACTACTACTACAAATTTATTGTGGGACTAGCATTAATTTTGAGGGCTTCAACAACCCGTCACATACAAAGAGGGGAATTGTTCCATCAAAGGGGAATCCCCAACCCAAGTTTGTTCCCAAAACTTTATTAGGTTACCTAAGTTCAAGCCATACCTGATCCAAGGGGAGAATGATGGAAGTACATCATGGATGGTTCTCCATGGAGATGTAGTTGTAGCCCTTGCCAGAATTCTAGGATCCCAACCATTGTCCTCCAGCTCATGAATGCTAGCCACTATCTTCGTCCACAATTTGTCATTTTCCAAAGGAAACCTCCATAACCACTTCCCCCAATAAAGCCATGTTTCTTTTCCTAATATTTCTTATCCCAAGACCTCCTAATTTTTTAATTCCATTTACCACCTCCCAACCCACCCTATGGTCCTTCTTCTCCTCTCCTGGCTCCCACAAGAAATCCCTCATTAACTTTTCCAACATGTTGGAGATCTTTGTGGGAATCTTAAACACTGACAAGTAAACAGGTAAGTTATCTAGGGTAGACCTAATCAAAGTGATCCCCCCCAAGATTATATAATTTTTCCTCCAAGAAGCAAGTCTTTTCTTGAACCCTTCCACCACCAAGTTCCAAAAGCTTTCTTTCTTGGGATTATCTCCTAAGGGGAGGCCTAAGTAATTCGAAGGCCAATCCGAAATTGCACAACTTAAAACACCTGCATATTCTCTTATTTCCCTCCCCTCCATGTTCACCCCCGCTATACAACTCTTATCAAAGTTCACCTTGAGATTAGACATTTGCTCAAAGAGTTGTATTTCCAATTTTAAATTCATAATCCAAGTTATGTCCCCACCTTCACAGAAAAGAATTGTATTATCTGCAAATTGCAAGTGTGTAAGTGAAACTTCCTCCCTTCCTACTCTCCATCCTCTTAGTAAATTCCTCGAATCAGCTCTATGAATCAATCCGCCCAAGAACATCTACAATCAAGGTGAATAAAAAGGGGGAAAGTGGGTCACCTTGTCTTATTCCTCTCAAGGCAGGGAAAAAGTCCACCATAGTTTCATTCACCAAAATAGAATAGTGGCAATTCCTAACACAACCCCAAATCCATTTGCATTATCTGTCCCCAAAACCATAGCATATCAGCACCTCCAACAAAAAAGACCAATCAACTAGGTCATAAGCTTTTTCTAAGTCTAGTTTGCAAACCACTCCCTTCTTTGCTTTCCTAAAACTCTCCAGACTCTCATTTGCAATCAAGATTTGATCAATAGTCTGTCTTCCCTTCACAAACGCTCCTTGGTTGGATGCAATAATAGTAGGGAGAACTTTCTTTATCCTAAGAAACAGCACTTTTTCAATTATTTTTTCCAGGTTGTTCACTAAGCTTAGTCCTAATATTTTTTCTTTTTGTTTTTCCCTCTGAGACTCTCCTTTTCACAACAAGATGGTATCAGAGATAAAAGACTCCAAGAACGATTATCATGTCTTAAGATCTGTTAACCATATTCTTTTTATGTCATGATTATCTGTTTTTTTTCCTATGTTGTATTTCTTGTTTATCATTGTTGTATCTCTCATGAACTTTTACTTTGGTGTTTTGTGTTTCCTCATATAATTAATTTGTGGCAAAGTCTTCTTTCCCTTTATTTCTGTTACCGGTATGTTTTAGAACAGAGTTGTTAGGGGGCATTTAGTAGTGCTCAATCGACCTACAAATGCTGAAAATGTTGCTTGTACGGTGGTCAGTGATTGTATCGTTGAACCTCCAAACTCCAAAAACACCTCTGAAATTTTTAGCGGTCAAGATACCTCTAAGCACATCCATTCATCCAAAGGTAGCAGATGAAAAATGGTTCCACCCATGCCCTTTTATTATGTTGAAAAACCCACACTGTTCATTGTCTTCCTGTTGCAACCAGTTCGATGCTCTGGTCAAAATGACAGCTCCAATGTCCAAAAAAGGTGCAATGTTCAATGACAAAAGCAGCACGTTTAATGAAGCTACCAGTAGTGATGGAAAACCAACAATTTCTTTACACGAGTCGGATGGTTCCTCAACATCAGGGCTTGCTCTACAATGAAGATATTGGTTGTGGTTGTTGGGTTTGGGAGTGTTATCTCAACACTAGCCTTTAGGTTGTATTCGGTTTTTTCGTTTAGGCTGCGTTTGGTAGAAGTGTAAAATCGAACCGGGGTAAACTTCACACCCCGGTTCGATTTTGCAAGCATTTGGTAAACATGTAATTTACAATGAAAATCGGTGTAAAATTACATGTTACTGTTGAATTGCGGCACGCTCTCTCTCTCTTCTCCTTCTCCTCTCTCGCTCACTCGCTCTCTCTCTCTCTCTTCTTCTTCTTCTCCTTCTCTCTCCTTGTTCTTCTTCCTCCCGGTTTCACTCTCATTTGTTCATACCTACCATCGGTCTTCAACTTTCCCCCTTCTCCCCTTCTCCAATTAGTCTTCAATCTGGGTGCTCTGCTCAGCTTCCATGCCGCCGCAAGCTTCTTCACCGGCGTAAGAATCGGTGTTACAGATCTGTATCTCCTTCACCCGTACCAAACAACAACGAATTAGAGGGATTTGAGGTGTTGCAGATCTGCTCAGCCTCCATCGCTCGCCCCTTCACCCAGAGCAACACGTAGGTGCTGCTCGGAAAACTTTCCGGTACATCATCATGTTCTCGTCCTAGAAAGGAAGGAATCCTGCGAGCAACACGTAGAGAATGACCCCACAAGACCAGAGATCCGCTCTCAATCCGTTGTACCCTTTCTTCCTTAGAATCTTGGGGGCCACATAGGCCGGCGTCCCACACTACGTGTGTAGGAGTCCATCATTGAGGAACTGCTCTGGCAAAGCAAATAACCCCCAAAATCAAAGATTTTGAGATTTCCGTTCTCATCAAGGAGGAGATTCTCAGGTTTCTGATCACAGTGAGAGACGCCCCTGTTGTGGAAAAAATCAACAGCACTAATCAATTGCTGGAAATACTTTCGAGCGACGTCCTCCTTGAGCTTCCCTCTGTAGACCTTAGCGAAGAGCTCACCACCTCGAACGTACTCCATAATAAAGATCTTTGATTTCGTCGCCATGACTTCCTCGAGCTCGACAACGTTGGGATGGCGGACCAGACGCATGGCGGAGATCTCCCGCGTGATCTGCTCCATTAATCCTTCCTTCTTGACCTGGTCCTTGTTGATCACATTGATGGAAACGCTCTCGCCGGTATTGAGTTCCTTCCGCCAAGACCCAAATTTACACCATAGGAAACCAAACGTGATCAATGTAAATTTTCAAAATCAACCGGTCCTAATTTCCATCCATCATTAAACCAGTTTACATTTTTCCCTGGTGTAAAATTTGAATTTACACCACAAACAAATGCAGCCTGAATAAAAATTTTTTTGTTACTTATCAAAAAAATATATTTTGAAGGTGATTTTCTATTAATTCTGCAACTGTTAAGTAAATGATGTACATAAATGGTTAGGTAGATGGACCAGCCTAAGCTGTAGGGGGTCCCTTGGCACAATCCAGATTGTATTCTATTCTGATAAGCTGCTGATATGTTATTGATTAAAGAAAAGGCCAATAGTCCCACATATTAGTAATGGTAAAGCCAATACTTCATTCCAAGAACTATATATCTAATATCACAAGTATCACAATACAACACCATCAGTAAATAGCCATCATTGTTTGATCTTGAGAAACAATTATTAATAAGAACAACAAAATCACTAGTTTCTGTCAAGAACACACAACAATAAAGAGTTCCAAAGTTGATGCTTGAAAATATTGACATTTAAGAATTAGTAGAGCAAATTAAGCATAAGAGTATAATTAACTGACAAGATCAAGAGAAATACATTATCAGCCTAAGATTATTATGACTGACCAAAACACTCAAAAACGAAAACTTACATCTGGTTGTATTCCTTTAATTGGCTGTCAGCTAGTTGTAGTTTTCCAGCACCATCTTGACCCTTTTCATTTAGACTGTTTAACTCTATTGTGACATCATGCAGATCATTCTGTAGTTTTTTAATTTCTTCATCATGCTTCCTCCGATCTTCAATCTTCTTATCTAGCTCCTTTCGGCTACTTTTGATCTTTGAATTAATACGGGACATTTCTTCCTTTAACTTCAGAAGCTCAGGTTGCTGCCAAGAGGAAAGCAACACAATGAGGAATCTAGTATCTATTACAATTAGGTTACATATATCATAAAGCTAAATCTAATTGTCATTTGAAACAAACAAGAGGAAAAATTATTCCTTCACAAGGCCACTGTGACATAGCAAAACCAAAAAAAAACCAAGACAATCATATGCTCCAGGTAGATGTTGCATTTGCAGATGCACATTCCCTTCTCAAAAATGACTACGAGTCAATAATGCAGAGGTGATTTCTTTTATGGACATAATGCAGTACGACATGTTATGCACATAAGGAAGGAAAACAATAGTAGAGTAAATGTTGAAATGGCAATCAATAAGGAATTATGGATCAAAATGATGGAGTTGGATGAAGGTGTGTGCTTCCACCACAAATTCTCAATTCTTTTGAATGGAAGTCTCACTGATTTTTTTCAAAAATTCTAGAGGCATTAGACAGAGTGGCCCATTTTCCTCTCTTCCCTTCATCTGTACAATGGAGGCTTTGGCAAAACTAAAGAAAGGGCAGCTCAGGGAGGCTTCCCTGGTGGTTTTGGTGTTGTTGACGGCTTTACCAAAGTTGAGCTACTTTATTTTGCAATGATGCTTGTCAAAGAAGTGTCTCAAGAGAAGTACAGAATCTAATTGAGTTTTGAATAGGTTTGAAATGGTTTCAGGCCTGAGAATTAATTCAAAAGAAGCTCTACAGGACACAATTATCAGGGGCAAGCTCCACCACTGTGCTAATAGCCCATCTTGCAGCCCTCCCATTAGGACCCACTATTCCAAAAGTGAGAGCAACCCTATCTCTCTCTTTCATTTTTGCACCTTCATGTCATCAAATGGGAGGGGCATGGGGATGTAAAAAGATTGTATCAACTTGTTCTGACCCAGGACTATAAGCTTATGGGCTCAGTCTCATATCATCATTGAAAAACAAAAGAAGATTTCCATATTCAAGCTGAGCTCAAACCAAAATAGCCCAGTGTTTTAAAAGCGCAAGGCACAAAAAAGGCGCAGGGGTCAATTTGTGCCTAAGGTGCAAGGCACAAGGCGAGGCGCGCGCCTTTTTGAAGCAAGGTGCAAAAATACAAAAAAAAATGCTAAAAATCAAAAAAAAATATTAAACATAATATTACTAAAAATATAAAGTTAAACTTTAAAATAATGTTTTAAAAAACCTATTATCTAAAATTAAAATACATAAACATAAGATGCAAAGCATATTCAAATGAGAATTTAAAAATAAAATCAAACATATAAAACATTTTCAAGCATGTAAAACCTCTAATCTCTTTTTTCACTCAATTGCAGTACTTCACATAGCTAATGTAATGTAAAACATATTAAATTCCTGATTCTACGAGCCGCCTTTGTGCCACGCCCCTCGAGGCGTGCCTTTTAAATCACTGAAATAGCCAACAAGCATTAGCTCTTCTTGAAAAGGAGGTGACCCAGTGCTAGAACTAGTTAGGCAGCAATACCTCTTTATTCTTCTTCTTTTTTATGTTATGTTATTTAAATAAGGGCAGAATTGTAATTTTATATTATATTAAGAAATAATTAAAGCAGGGGGGCAGTTATGAGAGAGTTCGTTCAATCTCTCTCTCTCTTTTGCAACCCTATTTTCCTCCCCTCTTCTTCTTTTCTCCTATTTTCTTTTATTGCAAGGCAAATCACATGGTATCACTCTATCAGAGAACTAGTGATTGGCCTGCAACCCTCTTGATCGTCATGCATCCTTTGCATCGAAAGACTTCATTCTATTCATAAGGGAAGGAAAAGGAACTGAAAAGTACTGGTCGTTTTCCAGAGTAGGAGGATTCCATGCTGTTGTGGTTGGTGTAGTTTTGGTGGTTTGCTAAGGACCCCTAATCAGCAGTTCAAATAGTAACAGCATAGATGAACATGTTGGGCGAATCAATCTCCTCCTTGTTTGTGATGACTATGTGATTTATTGTGGTGTGGCAGTAACTCAGTAAGTTATTTACATGTTTTATGACATCTGCCAGTAATCCAAGTGCGCGAAAGACTTCTTAATATTCTTTGTTGTTGCTGTAAGTGTGTCTTAGCGGGTATCCAGCAGTAGTTGGACTTTGGTAGAGTGGTTTAGTGAGTGTCCAGTAGCAGTTGGTTATTGGCTAGGCAACCAGTAAGGTTTTTCAGCTTTATGGCTTCATCAAGTAATGAAAATAAATCTTCCATGATGTTACAGCCAGATTTTATGGTCATTCAAATGACTTCTGTTAAGCTCAAGGATACCAATTGTGTACCGTCATCTCAGGAGGGGACCAAAAAAGACACATTCAAGAATTTGCAGGTGTCTAAGGACACTAGGAATTTAAAAAAAAAAAAAAAAAGTATTGCATATATGTTTTATAAATTTGAACAAGACTTTGAATCCATCTAGAGGTCCAAATAATGGCCCATTTGGTGGCACATTTATAGCTAGTTTGGGAGTTCGGAATCCAGCATTGCATATATGATAATTATGGCTTCGACAAGATTTTGAACCATCAAATGACCAAAGTAATGACCCATTTGGTGCTGAATGTAGGGCTGCTTTTTGGGAACCCATCTTTGATGATAGCTATATGTTCTGTGTGTGTGTGTGTGGAGAGAGACAGAGAAAAGGCCAGCATACACAAAATTATGGTGGCAAGATACACTTATATAGGACGTTTAATATGATGAAAAAAAAGCAAGTGCATGAGAAATATTATTCAGGCCAAGAGAAAAGAATATATGAGAGATAATGTCTGTAAAGGTACTGACCTTCTTATCAAGTTTACTCTTTTTCTCTACAATCTTCTTATCACAAAGTGCAATCTCTTTCAAATATCCAGCTTGTTCTTTCTTTTTGGCACTCACTTCATGTTCACACGCCTCTTGCTCCTTCAGAACCTCTTCACAATTTCTTTTTTCAGCTTCAAGGTCATCATTTGTTTTTTTCAACTCCTTTCCAATGTTAAATAATTGCCACAAAAAATGCTCTTCTTTCAAAGATTTCTGTAACATAGAAAAGAAGTAATACTTGTAACTATGAAGAGCAAATTTTGTAACAGATTCTATGATTGAGCTTCAGGGGAAACCATGCTCATAATGCCACCTCACATTTTACCATTATTAAATAATAAAAAGCAACTTCTGACATAGCATTTAAACTAAATCCAATAAATTTTACATGGTAATTCAAAAGAACAAAATCCAATAGATTGAAAACTGGACCACATATCGGACCAAAAAGCTTCAGTTCCCAGGTTTATCAGTTTAACCGCTTGCTGCCAGAACCTCTATAAAACAGTGAACTTGAAAGCTATCCAATTCCTGATTTCACAGCTAAACCAGGCAGTGCATGAAGTCCAGTTTTCAAAAATTTTGCAAAAACCAAAGCATTTGCAAGAGCAATTAAGAAAGTTTACAACATAATTAACAAAAACACTGGCAATGCTTCCTCTTACAAACATGAGGCATCAAAATGACTAATTTACTTGGAAAAATATGCTCACATGGTCAACTAAATTCAATAAACTAAAACAAAAAGTTAGAAAGGAAATATAAATTATTACCTTTCAATAAGAAGATTTTGGATCTCACGATATGGATGCAAGAAAAATAGAAATGAAACTAGATAGATGAAAAGTCCAAGGAAGAAGCAACTTCATAACAAAAGGATAAGCTCAAGCAACTATCATGTGATACTTTATGGAGCCCAAGGAAGAATAATCTAGCTATAATAAATTATTGAACATCACAAAAATATCAAAAGGGAGATAATGAATTAAAAGGCTGTGTAAGAACTTTATAATGAATACCAGCTGATCTTGCAAGCGCTTATGTTTTTCAGCCTCTTCTTTCTGTTCTTTCTTCTGCTTTCTCTCCATGACTACTTGTCTCTTTCTCTGATAAACAAGTGCTGATTTTTCTTCAGCCCTGGCCTTCTGTTCTTCTAGATCCTCGTAGTCTTTCTTAAGGTCTTCAGAACCAGATATCTGCTCAAGAAGTGCAGTGAGCTCCTTGGGATTTTTTGACGCAATTGACTCCACATCACCCTACAACACAATGTGATAAGACTTGAGCAATCAAACACCTTATATCCAGCATAACTAACAAGCATAGCCACACATTTACACATCAAGATCAATGCAGTCAGGTAGAACTACAAAGTAAAACAGAAGCATATGGAAAGCATAACTATTATAAAGTAATTATGATAAACAATGTTTAAACTATACACGATGCATTAACACTGACATGTGAATTCTAGTGAGAGCTTAACATATTTCTAAAACATGAAACACTTCAACATGTATGAGAATGAAAAAAGGCAAGATGGGAAAGATGTGAAGGAAACAGAAAAGTCTCATATTGAAACCCCAGCGGTGGTTACACCAGATACGGTAATTATTCAAAAGCATTTGAATTTAGAGATGAAGGGACGAGCATTAAAACTTTCACATAAGTATTAAGAAAAGGGGCCACATCAGACCCTAGGTGGGGACCACCTGTTGAAAAGGCATTTAGGATGGGAGTAAATCAGAACTGACTGGGAGGAGAAATGACCAGTTGGTTGAACCGGGTCAGGGGATTGGCTGAGTGGAAAAGTTGGGTGCATGTGACATTTTTAATAATCATGAGTCGAGGGCTAAAGAGTGCAAGAGGGCCAACAGGAGACAAATAACATGTGTCCATTATCATACCCGGTTAGTCCCTCTACGAAGAATGAACCGAAAAAATGTCCGCTACAGTGGCATCCAAGGGCAGAATCTCAGAAGATTTACTCCAACCAATCTGCGACTGATCGACCTAATCCCAGATATACTAGGACTAGATCGGAGGAAAATGAAGTTGTTGGTGGAGGTTGGGTGGCTTGTACTGACTCAGACGAGGATGACTTTTCTTCAAACTCCATGTCACTCATTGGCAGTGTGGGGGAAAATGATAAGCCGGAAGGCAAAAGAGGATGGGCTTAGTACTGAGTTGCTCTTTGCTGAAGAAGACTGTAAGGATACTAAAACCCCTGTTTTGGCCTCAACTAATGACAAAGGAGGTAATGCCAACACCGTGTACAAGAAGGTCAATGAGGAGGAAAGTCAAATCCTGGGCAAAGGAAGACCAGAACCAAGTCAAGCTCATTGGCAGGGTGTCTATAAGGAGATAGATGAGAATCTTTCAAAGGCCTAACAGAGAGACTCCAGGCGGGGATAGGCAACAACTTTTTGGGGGTGATCACAGAATGTTAACAGAGTCGGGATGGACTTTTCGAGCTTAATCTAAGAGTGTACAGAGTAATATCCAACCAAATGAACATGGAAGGGCTACAGAGCCTTCAGTCCCAGCCGTCATTTCTACCAAGACCCAGGTACTTTTGTGATTTCGTTTTCGGATACTAACTTGTGCTCTGTGTCTGAGAATCTTTGTCCAAGTTCCCAGCCTATTGCAAAGCCGCAAGCCTTTGCTAATTTAGCCTGAGCCACTACTTTGAGGGAAGAGGAAGAGGATAGAAGGGAAAAGATTGTGGTGATAGAAGAGGAGGAGAAAGGAAAAAAGAATTTGGGAATTGATAGAAGCCTTATTTGAGAAATTGAAGAGGAAAGAATGAGAAGGAAGTACAGAAAATAGCAATTACAAAACATCCCAAAATGAGTTATCCCTGTTAACCCCTTGTTTAGCAAGAGCATCAGACCGCCGAGTCCAGATCCATCAACCAAGCCACAACTGCCTTCGAGTCCCCTTCTATTATCAGATTTTCCACACCAAGTTGAACTGCTAATTGAATCCCTTGTATAGCTGCTAATAATTCAGCTCTAGTAGAACCTCCATTTTCCACTGGACCAGAGAAAAAAGCTAGGATATTACTGTCCTTCCCTCATCACCCCTTCAATTCCCGACAGTCCAGGGTTACCTCGACTACTACCATCAAAATTGAGTTTTACAACCCCATCAGGAAGATGAACCCATTCTGCAATAACACTCTGCTTTCAAGATGAACTGCTAGCCACTACCAACCAACACCACTGCAAGTCATCAAAAGTAAGGACTGGAACAAGACGGTAGTCTTCAACCAATGTAAATACCCTTGTCAAGATGTAATCCTTGACTTCTAGCAAACACATTCCCTTATAATAATTCATTGAGTGATAAGAGGGTATGGAGGTGGAGCAAGGATGGTGTTTTCATAATCAATCCTTTTTTATAATAAGTTGGTTGAACCTAGGGAGGTCAGCTCACTTAGGCTAGGATTTGGTGTCTTGGAGCTCCTGCTAAAATTGTCTTGCTATCATGGACTGCCGCACTAAACTAGTTACTAGTGTTCAACCACTGTGGGTCATACTTTTTTTTTGTAATGAGAGTTTGGAATCTGTGGATCATACTTTTCTCCATTGCATTTATGTTCAAAGACCCCGGGGAATATGGAAGATTTTCTAAGGAGCTGGTATTTACAGGGATGATTAAGAGAAGAAAGTGATTTGGAGGTCCTTCCTCTGGATTTAGTTTGGGCTTTTTGGGGTACAATTTACTCCTGGGTAGCAGTACATAGATGTTTTGGTGGGCAGCCCTTATAGTTCTTTTTTTTCATTTCTGATACATTTTTTTGTAATTACCAGAGAGCATTCTGATGTATAGTCTTGGGATTGAGGTGCACATGTTCTTCCTGCGGCAGAATTTTTGGCTTGTATTTTTGTTTATCTTTAATACAATAATTTACCATTATCTAGAAAAAAGATGAACCTAACAGACTCACATCTCCAGATAAATATTGAAATCTTTAGTACTTGAAACTTGACAGTTGGCATTAACCATGACCCTCTTTGCACATACAATAAATAACAGAACATTGAGAAAATAATGGCAACCAACTTTTTGAGGTATTGCAATTCCTCTCACTCTATTAATATTAATCAGTTTCATCTTCATGTGCAAAATCCTCAAAATCTAACTTGTCTCTCTGTAACAATTGATGGAATCATGCCATGGTACTGAATCCCGTCACCCACCACTAGCCTCTATACCTTCATACAGAACCCTCATTTCATGCACATACCTAGGAAGTGCTCAGCGCAGATTCATATATTTATATTCATTTGGACTTTGTAAGGCCCTCTCCTCTCAAAAGGATAATTAAATTCGAAGGAACAACTAGAACCAATCAAAAGAGGAGATAGTAACATAACAAGTAATGATTGCAGAGAAATGTAATGTAGCACGTTGATATTAGTCAAAAGAATAAACATTTGAAATTTGTGTGATGGGTTACAAGGTCTGTGCATCAAAAGATAAAATACAAAAGAATGTAAAAGTAATAATATAAATGCGCGTGCAACGCAATCCAAAATCAAGTTGAAAGTACCTGAAAAACAAGGAAGTTTCGCGCCTTGACAAGAATACCAAGCGACTTCAGCTTATTGTTATACTCATCCCACGTCACAATCTTTCCATCAAGTCTGTACTCGCTGCCTCCAGAACTCGTGATCGTTCGCGTGAACTGAATCTCCGAGCCATTACTCAGTTGGTAAACAAGCCGAACAAAAGCCCTTCTTCCCTTCTGTTCCTTCTCCTTGTCATCATAAGCATAAATCAAATCCTTCAGCTGCGCGCCTCGCAATTGAACCGAACGCACACCAAGAACGAAGCTTATGGCGTCCATGAGATTAGACTTTCCAGCGCCATTCGGACCGATAATTGCAGTGAAGTCATAGAACGGGCCGATGATTTGCTGACCTTTATACGATTTGAAATTCTCGAGCTCTAGACGGAGAATCTTCCCGGGAGACAGCAAAGAGGGCATAATTTAGTGGACGGAGTTCGTAATTAGGGTTTCGGATGGACTTCAATCGATAATATCGTGGAGTATTCAGAGATAGGGCTTTGAGGTCCAAATGCTAGGGTTCCATGGAGATCTCGCGTCTGTACGACTTTAGGAGAGAATGAACTGGAGGTGGAATCTGGGAGCAGTGAGAGACGAAGCGAATTGAAGATTGTTAGTGGCGGGAACGAGGAGAGAGTGAAGATAGCGAGCAGAAAAAGTGAAATAACGGAAGCTGTATACTAAGGAATAAAAGAGGCTGGCACCCAACCAAACACGACGGAACGGGCCTCAGTCTCTGCGTCAGAACCCGGACCGGGTGGGTTGCCGAACCGTCAAATGAAAGTCAACTTTGACCGTATTAAGGCCCTGTTGCTGTTGGCCTGTTGGGGGTGTCCTTCAATTACAATTATCCAAAAAAGATGAAATACTTTCAAGGCCTTGCTCGTTTTTCAAAATTTCGTTGGATAAGTGCACGTAAAATGTTTTATGCGAAAACGGTAATTTGACTTACCCATGTTATTTTTACTAGCGGAGGGTCCCTCCGTTGCCAGGTAAATTATTATATATATAGGAAAAAATTTTGTAAAATGTAAATTTTTTAATTAAAAGTTTATTAGAAAAAATATCTATTTAATATAAATAAAAATTTATAGATAATACTATATTTAATTTAATAAAATAAAACAATAAATAAATAATCACGGTTATCGCCCATTGGGCAATAGAGTGAAAGAGGGAGATATGACTTTTGAGTTTTGCCACTGTATTTTTGTTTTTTATAATGGAATAATTGTAAATAACTAATTTAATTTAATAAACAAATAAATTTACAAAATAAATAAGATAAATAGACAATCAAGTGAAAGAGTAAATATATACATGATTCTATGTCTTACTTTGCTAACAATAATAATTTGTTAAATTATTAAATTATTAACTAATTAAATAATTTAGTAAAGTAAGTAAATAAATAAATAAAACTTTATGTATTATCAACACAAAATTGGTAAAGGCTATCTCAAATTATTTAATTGATAAATTTAGCATTATTAATGGATCGAGTTGAACTACCGGGCCCGGTTTGTGGCTCGGCTTGGCCTAAGGCTTGGCCTGTGGCACATCATGGGCCCGTACAGGCTCAGGCTAAAATAAAATTTTAAGATCTTTAATTTTTTGTCTATATTTTAAATTTATGTTAAATTTTTCATTTTTTTTATTTTTAAAAACAAAACATGGCTTAGCCCGGTTCGTAGCCCAACCTAGCCTAAGACTTCACTCATGGGCCAACTCGGACCGTGCTGTGCCACATTTTTGGAGATATAAAATCATGTATAGAAATCTAATTATTAACCATGCAATATAAACTTGCTTCATTCCAAGCATGTTGTTAAACAAATTATAAGTGAAAGAATATAGATTAAACTTGAGATGAGGCTCTCTACCAACAAAAACAAATTTAAGATGAGGCTTAGGATTCGTGAAGGGAGGCAAAAATCCTTAGGCATGTATGTGCATTGAATCAAATCATATCAGATTGGATAAGGGTGGATCCATTGAATGCAATTCATCCTTAACTAGATTGAATTCAACTGGAAATAGGACAAATGGATACTTTTTGCAACCCTATTTAAAGGAAGTTGTTCCAAGGAGCCCTTGTAGTACCATAATTTGGCTTTTTCTTTCTCTGTCCATTAGAGACAATTTGTTCCAGCTCCTACTTATTTCTTATTTATTTTTGGGGATTGGTTTAGGCACATCTAATTAGATAAACCAGGCAAAACACTTGTAGAAAGACTATAAAATTTTTCCATGTAAAATATCAATACATAAAGATGTTTTTGGTCTTTAAAAATGTGCTTTTGAAGAGAATTTTTGTTTTGAATACTGCTCAGGGTTATGCCCCTTTAATTACAAAACATAACACGTTCAATTTGTTAAATTGTATTTCTAATTTTGACAAGTCTATTTCATCCCCTATAGTTCAATGGTTCTTGTACTAAATCCTAGAGAAGGGAAGCGGACTATACAAGCTGACGTAACCTTTGAAGAATACAGTAAATTACAACTACCATTAAGTTGTTATTTTATGTTAGTTGATATGGAATGGAGTTAAATTCTCAAATTCATCCAATTTATTCTAAGGTGATGTTTGTGCAATTGGTCTAGATGTTCATAAAAAACTTGGATTGTGGATTATGCTATATTCCTAGAAAAGGACTTTAGGTTGCTAGTGCAGGGAAAAGCTACCTCACCACTAGAACTTCTTAGAGAAAATAGATGCAAGCAACAAAAGTTTTGGAACTAAAGTATAGAAGGAACAAATATATTGATTGTGATAGATGTTAGATTGATATATAAACATCAAAATCATACATATTGTGTATAAAAAGGGGTTGCAATACACTATTCATTTCTTATAAATTTTAACTAGGCTTGTGCTTACAATCATGATAACACAGGTTTGAATCTAAGTATGGCCACTTAGTACTAAAAAATTCCAAAGGTTTAGATTTGTATTCAGTTCTATCCTCCCAAAACCCCATATAGCAGGGGCCATCTAAATTATTTTTCCTTCCCATTGATTTATAGTACCTCCTCTCAATTTACTCCAATGAAGTTCCACCTCACTATTTTACATATGATTTCCACTGTCAGTTATTGTGCAATCTCATGAAGAACATGTTGGTTTGAAGTATCATATTTCTAACATAAACTATAATGTATCAAGTGGAGTTTGTTATCATATACCAGACAAAACAACTCTTATGTACATTACTATTGGAAATGGTGGAAATCGTAAGGTCTCGCTGAAAGGTGAGGTCTAAGTGCCTAATTCAATGGCTTTCATCAATAAAGTGGTTTAAGACATCACATTATGTTTTCTATAATGAAATATCATCCTTTTTATGTAACACTCATGTTTTGCTAAGTCAAAGTTGGTGTGATACTAAGGATCCACACTGATTTGATTTATTGAGAATAACCCACCTAAAATTTTATTTTCTTGTGGGGCTATTCTTAGAAAAATAACAATACAGCTAAAAAAGAATGATACAAAAAATCTATATGATAGAATCTAGAATATCTGACATTTTCTCATTGAAGCATCAAAAGTCCTTTTATTATTTAGTGATATTTATATTTGTCTTTCTGTAATTAAAAATGATATACTTCTTACAATGTATATAATTTCCTGCAACAAATTGTCAATCACTCCTAAAATCCAAAGATCTTCTTCTACTTTAGCATTTATAAACTACCCAACAAGCACTACAAAAGAGCGAACATTTACCAACGGACCTAATCCATCGGTAAAACACAATAAATCCATTGGTATATCTCTAAATGGGCTATACTGATGGGAAAAAAAATTATAACAATGGCTCATCCATCCGTAGGTATAGGCACCGTAACAATATGGTTTTACTGATGGATTTGGTCTTCGTCGGTATAAACCCATGTGTAATACCTACGGCCCGAATGTTAATAACAACGACAAATAACCGTCGGTAAAGAAACAAAAAGAGCTTATTCAAAGATCTTTACTAACAAAACAATCCATCGGTAAAAGTATTGGTATTTTTTAAATTATTGACGAAGCTTCCGTCGATATAGCCACTAGTTAGATATTTTCCAGGTTTTAAAGCTATAAATTTTTAATGGTAGCCCATGACCGTTGCATAGATGAACATTCACTAAAAAAATATTTGCTTTTAAATCATATTATTTTAAATTCATTTATTATATGAAATTAGTCATACAAATATTGAAATCACCTCTCAAAAAATTACAAATCATCTTTATTAATAGAAATTTCATTATATAAAACATAACATAGAAATACAACTTAAAAAGAAGTTTTGGACTAAACAACCAAAACCGAAAAAAACATCAAACAACCAAGTTTGAGAATCATTGACTTATTATTTAAAGATTTAGGAATCCTTGATCAACATTACATAAGCTGTCTAGTTTTCATTCCTCCTCACAACATTAAACCTATTTGCCACTTAACAAGTCCATAAGAGTGTAATGTTCAGTGTCCACATCTAACTCCCTCTTATGCACGCTAGCACTAAACCTTGCAACCACTTTTCATTATTACATCATGGAGATTTAGCTCATGGCATATAGCAATACATCTGCAAAATGAAAAGAGTTTCTTATTTAGTACCTAAACCAACTTTAACGTAAACTATGTGAACCCTTTAGACTTAATTTGTGTTTCATTTAGCTAAGAAAACTTTGACAATGGAGCTGTTTCATAATAGTTGAAGTTGTTGAATTGAATTACTTAATTGTTTTGTTTTTAAATGGATAAAATAATAAAATGTTCTTATAAAAGTTCTCTAAACCAACTTCTTTAGAAGGTCATTTCTAAAACTTAAAGAAATGACACTAGTAATCAATTTTTTCATCCTTTATTTATTTTCGTATTTTTCCACTACAAATAATCCCTAATACTTAGATCTCTATTTGAAACAAATGGATAAAAAGACAAATGTACCAACATAGATATCTATCTTTATAGCTATCGATAAGCATGAAAGACGCACTTGAGCTCTGTTGGGTGGACAAGTACAAGCAATAGCTGAACAAATTAGCTGACACAAGTAGTTGCCAAAGGATTTGGAATGGCTGCCCAAGTAAATGGTTGCCAAAGGAATTAGAAATGTTATTAAGAAAATGAAATCTAATCTTAATAATAGAATTAAGCAATTACTTTAAAATCAAATTAATTTTGTATACAAACACAAAGGAAAAAAATAAAGCAACCACTTAAATGCCTGCAAACTACAGTACAAATGATTCTTGGTCTTGGATTGGAAGTTTCCATATAGAAAGGTTCTTGGATTGTAAACCCACTCCTACATGTTAAAACTTCAGAAGCTTATGATTGTCACCAAGATTTCTTTTGCATGTTCACCCAAAACCTGCTGTTTCACTTGGTGAAATCCTATATGTAAAATCTATCACTTATGGTTTGAAAAGTACTTTTCTTGAAGATAATGGAGTCTATCATCAAGATTTATTCTTGTTCTAACACATTTTTTATCAATAATCTTGTTCTAACACTTAATATGTAAGACTAAAGTGGAAATTCTCTTGTTGTCTTTAGCCATGCCATACAAAACCTCTTTTTCCTTAAATGACTTTTTACATCTCATAAAACTATAATCATATTTCAATAATGCTTCAATTTGAAAGTTGCCACTTTGTGCAAAAAATTCCAAGATCCTGGACAGTGGGCTGACATTGGGTTTTGGCATCTTTTCAAAACAGTAACCTACTGTACAAAAACTGAAGCATCACCAAACATTTCTCATTTAGCCTCTAATTTTTAGTTGATTCATAGTAGTAAAGGTCCTTTTCCCATCTATTTTCTATTGGATTCAGCACTTAGAGCATCTTGTATCCTACTATAAGTATAATATAATGATATTCCCTCCTATTTAGACACTCTTATCCAAATATTGGAAAAAAATGTTACAAAAACAAAGGCTCAATAATAAACTCATATAACCAACTAGAAATACATAGAAAATAATGAAGGAGTAGATACAAAACCTTTATCAAAGGAACAAGAGAAAGCTGAATGGATGTAGGATAGCAACCAGGTTTAGCAATTAGCCATGCTGAAATTCTTCTCTTAAAATTTCTGTCAAACCATAAATAGCTTCTTTCTGCATCTAGATAAGTAAAATATATTAGTTAAATTCATACCTCTTCACAAAAAAGGGAAAAAAAAAAAGAGAAAACAAGAAAGTAGTTAAACATATCCTAAATTAATACATGTCAAGCATGAAGAGATCAAATATGCATATCAGTCAACTCTGCCCAAGGTAGATATCTAATGTGAAGATCATGAGCGAATAAGAAATATGAATTACATACAGAGCCTGGGGTTGACCATACCCAAGTATCATTACATATTGGCTGATACGTATTGTTCCGGGACCCTTCCAATACGCCCCTACAGTGGGTGTATCGGGGGTTTGACCGGTTCAGGGGATGAAGGGGTCCGAGATCGGCTCCTCTGAACCAGTTTCAAAAAAAAAATAAAAAAAAAAGTAAAAAAACAAGTATCAAAATGCCCGATACGCCCCTATCGGCATATCAGGCGTATCGATATTTTGAACTTTGATCATACCATTCCTCATACTCATCAATATTTCTTAGCCGAAAATCCTACAAAATGATCTCATTTTAATTTCTATACTAATTACACTCTGGTGAGAACTTCTTTGAAATGCATGTAATGAGACCATGAAATTAGACAAACTAATTGTACTAAGAAGTGCAACCAAAGCATACTATAAAAAGACCAACACAAAGGCTGAGCTAAAAGGAAATTTTACATAGTGCAAGCTGACCAAAAACAAAGAACAGTCAAGATAGCTGATGTAGGGTTCCATCTAGACAAGTTGTCCATCCTAGAGGCCAAAGACTACACTTCTATATAAGGTCTAAAAATCCATGGGCCTGCACCTGAGAGTTACTAAATACACTTGAATTTTCTTAAACAATTAGAGAGGACAAACCTGTAGAGAAAAACAATTTGAAACCTTGTAGTAATAGAGAAGCTCTTTTCTGAGTGAGTTCCCCTCTCCAACACCTGCAGGGATAATGGTTTAAGCGCCAACAACTTAAAAATGGATATGAAATTAAACAGAACAGAATGACAAAACAGGATTCATGTAGCTAACCCCATATAATTTGGCATGAACTGAATGGTGAAACATGGATACTTCTGAATATAGGCTGTAAGGGTGTATTAGAGTAGGAGGATACAATATTTTAATTTTGTATGAAGATGGCTTTGATGTCCAACAAGCTAGGTTTGAATAGTAGACAAAGCCTTTGTCTCTTTAAAAATAAATCCAAGTACCTCTTCCCCTGAGAGTTGACTTCTAGTGTTAGCTGGCAATATCTAACCACTACAACAAAGATTGTACAATGATATATACCTATGGCATATAGTCTGTATCAATATGCGCTTAAATGATATATGCAGGCTTGTTTTTGTAAACTTTTATTGTCTCCAAAATATTGCCCACATTCCTCTAAGCTAGAGAACAAAAGAAAGATTGTCAAGGGAAACAAATTGAAGATGTTTTGTCAATATATTGGACATCATATCTTAAAATATTGTCCACAAGATTACAACAAACAAAATTTTATCAAATATTCCCAGTACTAATGAATAGAAAATAATGTCATTTAGTACTAATTCCTTGAAAAGAAAAAAAAATATCATAGCAAGAAAGAAAAGTAATGGTGCAATACCTCCATCCACAAAGAAGGGTACAATCACGAAGTAAAGTAGTCCTTGTCACTTAAAGTAAATGCTTAATTAGAGGCCTCTGAATTGTATAACAGTTTGGGCCTACAAATTAGAGTTTCTTTTCTTTCATTTGCCTTTTCTCCTTCTTGTATAAGATGCCTTCTTAGGTTTCATTTGGCCTTAAAACATAATTTGTTGGAATAAGAACCTTGTTAGGGGAATCAAACTTATAGTCTTTCTCAACTAACACTATGGTTGTATTTGATTTGATGCAAATAAGGATGAAATAGAAAGTTGAGGGAAGTTGTTAAGGAATTTCTTATTTTCTATCAAACCAAACAAGCCTAAAACTTACTAGGTGAATCCACTGAATGGGGTTTCAAAGGCCACAATATATGGAACCTTTGTTTGAATATTAATCTCTATTTATTCTTTTTATCATCTTTATTTATTCTTATAATCCTGTTTTGGATAGAACTTGATGCAACTCTAGTTCTTCACCAAAAATAGATCCCATCAAAACCTTGTTCTCAATTTTCTTGTCAAGAGTCAATACTAATCCATCCCACCTCAGAAAGCAATTAATTTATTATTATTATTATTGATATTGTTTCTTGTCAACAAAAACTTGGTTAGCATCAAGACAAAATGGAAAATAATGGGTTTTGAATAGCAAATAAAAACAAACAAATAAATAATAAATAAATAAAGGAATAAATACATTTTAAAACTTGTTAAAAGCCCAAGAATGAAACAAAAAACACTAATGCCAATAGAAGCCTCAAGACATGCAACCATATGGAAAAAATCAAAACAAAATTACAAATATTGGGAACCAAATGTGAACTGATGATTTCGTTGGCAGCAAAGGGTGATACGGTGACATGTAAACTGTTGATACCATCGGTGTCTTCATTGCAGAGACCTCATAACTAAAATCGATCTCAGTCGTGTAACCCTTACCAACTCGATCATCGAATACCGACAGAGCCACTCTTTCTTTTCACACCAGTTACCCTTCTTTCTCCCCCTTGACTGTTCAAGTTATGACCACTAAAATCTTGATAGTTTTTAGTAATTCGAACACCTTTCATAGGCAAAGGAAGAAAAGCAAAATGGGAAAGAAAATAGAATGGAGATTTACTTTCAATGAATGATTCGATTGGAACAAGGGGAGAAATGACAAGAAGAAGAGAGAGGAGGAACTAAGAGGCATGAAGAGGTTATATTGAGGAGACGAAGAGAATGGTTTCTCGCCTAATGTTTTTTTGGGCGCCAAATTAGAAAACAACAAGTCATTCTATTTTGTCGTATAAAAATGTGATTAGAGGCCAGGGACAATATGGCACCTCTATAATAACAAATAGATAGAGGTGTAAATTGGGTTTTAAGTCCATGGGCCTGTACAACACAACATGACCGAATGGGCTATGTCGCCTACGGCTAGTGGCATGACCCATATATATTTATATATAATTGAATTTTTAATTTTATTATATTATATTATTTTATTATTGTATATATAAACAATTGCATACATCAAAATTCATATAAAATAAAATTGTAAGATCTTTTTTTATTTTTTTGTCTATATTTTAATTTATATTAAAATTTTCACTATTTTTTTCAATTTTTTTAAAAAACATGGCTTGGCCTAGTCTGTAACTCGACCTAACCCAAGGATCAGCATGTGGGGAGGTAAGCACAGACCGCACACAAAGTTGTGCCATGCTGGCCCATCATGGTATATATATAGGTGTTCTCGGTCCGATTTGGAGAATATCTCAAACCAAACCAATAAACTATAGTTTGAGAAATTTTGAAACCATTTTATTACAGTTTGGTGCGGTTTGGGGATTTTGGACCATTCTATAATTTTATTGGGCTTAACCAATTTGAAAGCCCAATTAACTCCCTTAAAAGTTAAAACTTAGAACTTTTATTTATTATTTTATTATAAAATAAATAGTTTATTATATATTTATACATTGTATATGTATGTATGTATATATAAAATTTCGGATTACGATTTATAGTTTAGTTCGGTTTATAGAATTCAATAAACCAAACCAAAACAAAACTGTAAACACAATTTATAAAATTATAAACTGAACCAAACATCGTTGACCCGGGAAGGTGGGTCCATTTGGGTTGGGAACCATTTAGGGTATTGATATTGCTTTAACCCCAAACCATCCTTTTGCCCAAAACCGTTGAATTGGTCGATGACCTACTAACTGTTGAGCAATCAAATTGTTGACCCATCAATTTGATCCAAACAATGGTTTTGGGGCATTTTTATTTTAATTTATTTTGATTTTTAAATTTTCATAGCCTGATCCATTTAGACCGAATGGTTGAACCATTGACTCAAAAGTTAGTGACTATATATATATATATATAAATATATATGTGTGTGTAAATATATACTATATAGAGTAAATAATTTATAATTACATTTACGTTGGGGTTCTGACCGGTTCAGGGGGTGGAAGAGCCTTAAACTGGCCTCCTGAACTGGTTTTGAAAAAAAAGTAAAAAAGCACTGCTGATATTGCCCGATAGTATCGGGCCGATACGCCCCTATCGACATATCAGACATATCGGTATTTAGAACCTTGATTACATACTACATGTGATATGTTTATACATATTTCATTTTAGGTCAAATTTATATTTTATTTTAGTTTCTTTCTATAATTAATAGATAAAAAAGCTAAACAATTAGAATTTGAGGCCAAAAAAGGTTTCTTTTGGCAAATAGCAAGACAAGGCACCTTTTGCACCTTTGAACATGTAGAACTCAAAAAGTTAAGCAAAATAAAACAAACCATCACCCCAATTGGACAATCAAGAACAAAGTTATGGCCCCCAAAAGTTTTCATCTTACAACTTGTGACCCAATAACCAAGCCAAGTGGGTCAACAATTCAATTACACAGATTGAATATAGTTTTGACCAACATCGTTCTTTACATTTCTCTCCCCCGTCAACCAGTGTTCTTTACAAAAAGATTGAAAAGAGGTTGGGATTCTTCATTCATTACAACAAAGTTAAGATATAGTAGTATTTTTTCGGATCACATTTATTAATCATCACTATATGTTAGATTCAATGATAGATATTAAAATTACCTCTACATACCAATGCTTTCAACTTGTTGTTGACTTGGGTTCTCTCTTTAGTAATTTAGATTCCTTGTGATTTTTTATATTTTTTGCCAAAAATTCTTTATTTTTTGCTTAAAATATCAATTTCTAGTATAAAAATTAAACCAAAAACAAATAATGTCATAATATATAACATACACATACATAGTTGAAAATCTATACCAATGGATGTTAAGAATCCGATGGAATATATAAGTTATATAGCGACGGATTATAGATTTTGTCAGTATAGTTTGGAACTATAATGACGAGCACATGAATCCGTCGATATTTTATAGATATATAGTGATGGATGAAAACACCTGTCGCTACAAACTACTAATACCAATGGATTTCAGCCATTGGTAAACATGGTTGTCATTATATATAGGCTTTAGCGATAGATTTATTCTTCCAATGGTAAATTTTAAGGCATGCAGTGATGGATGAACATATCCATTGTTAGAAACTATTTATACCAATGGATTTTGACCGTTAGTAAAAATGTTCGTCGGTAAATGTACTTTTTTGTAGTGAGGTAGAGGACACTCTAGATTGGCAATATGTTTGTTCTCATATCATCTCTTTGCAAGACATTGTAATGAAAATTCCCTTGAGTTAGATTGTCCAAACTTTAAATCATTTTAGATTGGATAAGGGTGGATCCATTTAATGCAGATCACACTTAACCAGATTGAATTAAATTCGAAATTGGACAAATGGATAACTTTTGTAGCCTTATTTGAAGGAAGTTGTTCCAAGGAGCCCCTGTTGCACCATAATTTGGCCTTTTCTTTCTCTATCTACCAGAGGTAACTTGTTCAAACTCCTTATTTCTTATTTATTATGGGGATTGGCTAGGTGCCTCGACAACTATGAAGCACACACCATATGTCTGTCCTTCATGGTTTGAGAGATCATCTAACTCTATAGTAGAAGTAGAATGAGTATCCTACCAAAAAATGGGTTATGTTGTTTGGCCATCACATTCATATAAAATTTCTCTGTCGGACCTAAATATTATGTGCTTTCTTTTTCCTCCATTTTATTATTTGAGAATGGGATAACAATGTTCAACAAGTTGTCCTACTAAACCTAAAATTCCTACAATGTTTCCATACTACCAATGCTAGAGTTTTTTTATTCTCCATCAAAATGTTTACAATTGATTCTTCATTGTCTTCATCTTCAAGAATGCCTTTAGGCTTTCTGTTTTATTTTATTTTTAATCAACAAGGAAATTCATTAAGCATTAGGAAAATTGAAGAAAGTACAACAACAAGGAATGTTCCAATAAATGACCCAAGAAACATAAGTCTAAACTTTTGCCCAAAATAACTCATGTCTATTAACCCCCTGTTTAGCCAATACATCAGCCATTCCATTTGTAGTTCTCCTAACCCAACTAATTAAAGGTAGTGTTGAGTTCCCTTGAGAAGTAGACCATCTCCCTAGAGGTGTGTCTATACATCTAAGGAGTTGAATTGATTTTCCTTGTCCAATATATAATTTGTTTTGAATCCCCTTCCATAACTAGCTCTCAGAATGTCTTTAGGCTTTCTATTGTGCATTGGATTTGGATTATGCAAAGGAAAGGATAACAGAGGTCTGATAGCCCTCTGATGGAGTTGTGGTATCAATCTCTTTCCACTTGTGTTTTTCCTTTTCATTCCACTTCATTGTCTATCCTAAGGTAGACCATCGTAGTCTACATCACCTATTCACCAACCTACTTGACTTCCTCGAAGACACATGCTCTTTTAATTGGTCATGCAATTAAACTGATGTCATTGAGCCAAACCTAACCTTCATTCTAAAGACTTGGACTGATGATCTTGCAGAAATAATTCCAATTTGGTAGATTTATTAACTAAGCTTGGAAGAACTTGAAGAGAGGTTACCAATGTGATGTTTTTTAGCAGCATTCCAATCAAGTCAACTCTGTAATTTTCTGTTTTACCATTCAAGGGAAAACCTTTTGGTTCATTGAATTCTTGTTGGCTAGAAATAAAGATAAAAAACAACATGTGGTGGATTTATAAAATCCTCCTAAAGCTCCTCACTACATGTTTAACATTCCTATGGCCCTCCAATCTAAATGAAATAACATAACTTTAGAGAATAAAGAAATAAAACAGCCACATGACATATTAAAATAATTCCCTAATGCTCCTCGCCATGTGGTTTGGCATTCCATGACACTCCACATTATAGTAAAACAGAAAGTACATACTTTTTACAAACAAGTAGTTGCCCTGTAGTTTCCATCAATGAATTTAATGGTTCTTTCACTATTCCATTGTGAACCATTTGCAATGGCGGTAGAGGTGAAGTGGTGCTATTGTAGCAAATGAAACCAAAGATATAAATTGAGAAATATAAGGCATTCAATTGAGAAGTCTTGCTTCCTACCTCACACCTAAACAAATAACTCTGGTCTTACCTCAACTTTATTTCATATAAGGCGAGGACTACATTTTTCTTCCTATTTCACTTCTCACAAACAAATAAGATAGTCAAATTTGAAGAGACAAAGTCAAATAAATAAGCAAATGTCAAATATGGAGAGACTTCCATCAGGATAAACCTTGATGGGTAATCTAGGGATCCTACACTTTCAGTTCAGTGCAAGGTTATTCTCAAATAGTGAAGGCATGGTTATCGTATATATTTGGAAAAATTGGGCATAGATAAATCTCAAAATCCATTTCCCTAGAAATAATTAGGCTATCCTCAAACTCCTAAACCAAGCTCCCTTATAAGATCAATTTATGTTCCTCCCTAATATAATACTTTTTGATATTTTCCAAGCAGTTCCATGGAAAACTAGCATATAGGATTTGAATGATTTAGGACCAAAAGATAGCTACAAAGACATGATGACATGGAATGCAAATTCATAACCAAAGACTTCATAATTTATTTATTTTTAAGTATCTTGCAGTTTGTGCTCCTCCCTAAACCCCGTAGTAAATCTAGTCTCTTATTACATTAAACGTGATCAATCTCTATAATTGGACAAATTTCATCCTCAGACAAGTGAGATTTGCTTATATTTAATTTCTCAAAAGACAACTAACTAGCTACAAAAACCCAAATTTCATCCGTAGTTAA